TTATGATGAAAGTAGCTAGCTCACATTCTTCAAAAAAATATCACAAAAATGCATGTCAGTGATAATTTGTGCAGTAAACATCTACATATAAAATCTTGCCGTGTACTTCCCTTAATTTAGTAGGCTAATTTTCTAGTTTATCTATGGCCCTACATAACAGGGATACATGTAGGCCAATATATGAGTTTTCAGATTAGTAGGCCTACTTCAGGCAAAACGCAATCCGAAGATTCCTAGCTAGGTTCGTTCTCTCAAACTTAACGCAAGGTAGCACAGAGAAAGGCCAAGTTCGCATAGACTTTTAGTAGCCAGTCAGGTGTTTTATATTTAGTCTAACGTTAGGTAACTACTACAACGATGTGAAATCTACAAATTCGGAACTGTCGTCTGCGTCTCTCGTTTCTTTTTTCTCTCTCCCATATAAATTCTCCCGTAACCCTAGGCCTGTCAAAAGTCGCCTTATATATAAGGCATTTGTTTTCTATAATTTACTTCGTCTTTCAATACAATTCAACAGATTCAAGAACATGAAAAAGTAGGCCTTTTTATTTTTCTAAATCATTAAAGATATCACAAACGCTTGAATTTTCCATATGGTAAAAATATCAATGTGGATAGAGCAGCTACCCTTTCTTTATTTAAAGAAACGTTTTGACGCTGTAAGCTAGAGAAATTGCTACTTCCAAGTGCAAATTCGTTCATTTTCGGTACGTTAATGTAAACACCGAAAAGTTCCGTCCACATTTTTACTTCAGCCGTTATTAAGTTGGTCACGAGTCATTATGTTAATCACGTGCTATTACGTTGATCACGTGTTATAAAGCTGATGACGAGTTGTTTAGTTGATCACGTGTTATTTAGTTGGGGAACATGTGGGACCAGGGGTTGACGTATTGGTCAGGGTCAGGTGATCGCACGTACTGCCCGTCACTCAGGTTTTGAATGTCGTCAGGCGATAAAGCAACATCGTAGAACACAATCTGAAAATCATAAAAATATTTTTAGAAATACCGAGATCAGTTAAAAAGTATGTCCAATCTTTTGGTACTGTTGTGGAGTCCTCGTCTTATTATTTACATTTATGTCGTGAGTATTTTATCCGTTTACACATGCATCTATTTAAGACTGTTCAATACTCGTGTCTTTTGATAACGAGATCTCTGTATGGAGAGAGCACACTTACGTTGTCCAGCAATCCCTTAAAGAACGTGTCTCCGTGTCCCAGTGTGACGTCAGAGTAACGATCTACGCCTATCACCATCGGGGAACCTTTCAGCTTTTTAGGAAATCCTTGGAAAGATAAAAATATCATTTCTGTTAGTTACTTCTGTTACAATGTATGCAGGCCGTTCAGGGCCCCGTAACCCAAAAACATCGCGCATTGCGACCGAGCGCAAGCGTCTCGATTCCATAACGCGCCCCATATATTAATACACTGTAGCCTCTATGTGATATCGCTATTCGCAATACGCGATGCTTTGGAGTTACGGGTCCCAGAATGAGTTAAGGGGCAATAGCTGGTGCGCACTTACTCTACGAGGACTGAGCGGCCCTTATACCATTACTACTACTACTACTACTAC